CCTCCATGGCTCAGGACGTCAAGTCCTTGTTCTGGAAGGTTGGCGTGTGCCAGTGAAATGGAGGCGCCCCGTGCGCTGTAAACACCAACATTCCGGAGCCTTTCTCCAGGGCGTCCAAGACGAGTCCTGCCAACCCCGCCCCCATCCGCCCTAGATCTGCGTGTCCCCAGGCGGCGGCAGAGCTGCGGTGCCCTGCTCCTTTAGCTATCGGAGGGTGACATGGCTGTGGTTTGTGCGGACACAGAGGCAAGTGGTCGTTGGAGAGTATTGTACGCACGTCTGCAGCGAGAGGAGTCGGAGGATGGCTATGGATGAGCAGATGGAGAAGGCCAAAGATGCCACACCTGCCGGTATCAGGCGGGCTCCCATTCAGGCTCTCTGATTTCAGAATGCAGCTGGGGCTCGCTGTGGCCCTGAAACTTGGACCTTGGGCCTTGGCTGACATCAGATGGAAGCCCCAGGGCTGCGCAGCACACGCTGCGCGGCATCACTGTCCCGTCAGGATCCTGGGAGGCTGAGCCTGAGGGCGGTGTCTGCGCAGTTCACCCCCTCCGCCAGCTTGGGGCGGTCCATCCCGGCGCTGTGCAGTTCCCACGCTTGGCGGCGGCCTGGGGACATGGCGCCTCTGCACTGTGACCACTGTGCCCCTGGTCCCAGCGACGAGCAGTCCATGAGCCTCAGGGACTGCAGGACGGTTGTGTGGGTAGACTCCTCAAGACCACCCGGGAAGAAGGGGCCTGCGCGCCTGCGCGCGCAGCTGTTTCTTATTCCCGGACGCCCCGAGATCCCGCGAGATGTCAGGATTCTCCGCGAAGTGCGGGGTCAGCTGCGAGGAGGCCGGGTCATTTTTGCTTCTGCTCTCTGAGTGAGCGCCCAGGCTCCGAGCGTCCCGGCTAGTTCTCTCCGGCCTGTCGCTGCCAACTTTTAGAAGCTGTTTGGTTATGTGAGTGAAAAGCTGACTGAAGTGGCCTGAGAAATGAGTTGAGGAAGCAAGGAGGGACCGCTTGTGCTGACGCCCGCCGCGGGCGAAGATGGCTCTGAGGTAATTACCAGCGGCAGTGCGGAGTCAGGAGTTTTCTTGGTCAGATTTAGTCAAGTTTATCCATTCCATAAATTTATCCAAATGAGGAGTAGTGACACAGAGAAGAGAAAAAGGGGTAATTGGTGGTGGAAGGCACTTGAGGAGGCAGGTGGTCCTAGACGTGTAAGACGCAGTGGAAAGGAGGAATTTTAAAGTTACCTATGCTGATTAATTGTTACTAAACACTTTCTTGTTGTTGTTATTGTTTTTCAAATCAGTTAAGAAAGGCAAAGAAATATACATTAATGCTCTATTTTGTAATCATGTAATTACTTCTACCTGTGTGGTGTTTTTTCACGTGGGTTGTCCTTACCTGAGGTCGCTTGTTTCCAGCCTACGGACTCCCTTCAGAATTTAATAAGGAATATCTGCTAGCAGTGTATTCGCTCAGCTTTATCAGGGAATGTCTTTATTTTGCCTATACTTTTTGAAAGATAGCTTTGACGGATATAGGGTTCTTAGTTGACTGTTGTTTTTCTCTGAACACTTTCAACATGCTTTTCAACTGCCTTCTACGTTATTTGGTGTTTGAGGAGAGAAGTCAGCTGTTGAAATCAAATATTTTGAACCTTTTTTGAAAAAATCCATATAAACTCTAATGTTAATTTTAAAATTGATGCTGAAAATATAAAGCACTGTTTTTTCTTTTTAAATTTTATCCAAATTGGGAGGCAAGCTACAGAATAAGCCAAAGAGAATCAATTGTTTAAAAACTGTATGTTTAGTGAAACTTAGCCTGTCAGTCAAAAGATACAAATACTTCTTTCTCTACCCTTCGCAAGTTATGATTTTCCTTGAGAAACAAATAAAAATCCTCACAAAACAATCAAAAATATTGTATGAAATGGCTGAAAACAGTTCAGTAATATGGACCTGTAAACACGTCAGTATTGTTTCCTAAAATATGTTTCATGGAAGATAGTCCTGTAAGAAGTTCACTGAGAACACTTCTGGTCAGAAAAATCTGGAAAATTCTACTTCTTCAGTCTCTGAAATGTTTCCATATTATTGTTTCTGCATAGTAAATTAATAATTGGATTTAACTTTCTATATCCTGGAAATGTTAAAACCTGTTTCAGCAGAGGGCTTTTCATTTGTGGGAATATTAACATCCTGTGAGCTAGTGTTCTGTGCAGCACACTTTGTGACCTGAGGGAAGAGTCAGTTAACAAGCTATAGAATGGATATCCTACCACCCACATCATCTGAAAAATAACAAGATTTTTTTCAGAGTACCAGATTTCATGAATTTTCCCTACTAGATTATATGAAAATTTTATCTACATTACTCCTTAACTCAAAATACAGATCTGCTCAAAAATGTAAATAGATTATTTTTTCTTTCAGTGTGAATTCCAGATATTATATATTTTTGTCATCCATCTGCCCTCATTTTTCTTCCCACTGCTCTTTTTGCCTTAATGATTCCTAGTAGAACAAGATAAATGAAGGTAATTCCATTCAAAAATAAAACTTTGCCTTCTGTATATTATCTTATCCTGGATACTTATTCTACAAGCAGTAATTATTCTTTAATGTAAAAGATATCTCCCCCTTCCTTGAAAATAAAGGCAATAGATTTTACTTACGCAAAGTCACAAGATTATCCTTCCCCTAACATCCTGAAGTCCCCAATGACCAATGACACTTCTTTGCCAGCTCGTTTGGTCCACTTGTACTGAAGCTAACCATAGTGTTTTGTTCTCCCTATTTCTTTATATTTAAGTTGTCTTCCAAAGACATCACAGTAAAACTAATGACAAAGAAGTGATATTTTTACCTTTCCCTCAAGCTGAGATATGCTGTAGAGGTAGATGCCTGAAATGTGCAGTATTCCAAATACAACGTTGCCTTCTTACTGGCAAAACCCAATTACCCAACTAATTGGCTGTTACATTGCAGTGTGATACAGGTTTGGCCCACACCTCTTCTCCTGCTGGCAATGCAGGAGTTGGTCTACTTTTGCGCCCCCTTTCAATATGTTTTATCATTTAAGCCAAGAGAATGGTCACTCAGTGGATGTTCTTGGCAACTCTAAGACACAGATGCTGGGCTCTCACATTTATCTTTTTTCCAACAGGAGCAATGAAATAAGTGCCTAATTTCTTGGCTAGGAGCCACTTAAGCTTTTTACTAGGCCTACTTGCTAGATTTTGTGACAGCCACAAATGTACCTTTGTGCTAGTTACATGTTAAATGGCTGATTATCACTTCTGATTATTTTGATGATGGGTGTCTTGCAGAGTGATTTCACTTAAAAAGATTTATTTCATTGACTAATCTTAGCTCTTCATCCATTTTACACTCTACGCTATAATTTATGGTACTTAATGCCCCTAAATTTCTGCCACTCTTAAGAAATAATAAAGAGTAGAGAACTAAAATTTGAAAATTTTAGAAAATTTTATGTATGACATAATAAAATGGACATTTGCAATTAATTTATTCAAGCTTCATTGATGTATCTAAACTTTCATAGTTGTTTGGTATAAAGATTAGCCATGGTCTTTGACGTGAAAGAATATCCAGGCCAATTAAAAAAAAAAAAAGAGGAAATGCAGGGACAAATAATTACCAAAAATGTCAAATTGTCATAACCAATCCTGGTATTAGAATAAATAATGTAAGTAAAATCTGAAATGATGACTCAAGGGAAAAGCAACTAATTTGAAGGTTTTACCCTTTGGCCTGTGAAAAAGTGTACCAGCTAGAGAATATGGTGAACTTAGATACACTGAGAGGAGGAAGTGGCCTGGGAGAGTTGCGCATATTTTTTTGATCAGCTCCGCAGGTTTTAAAGGCACTTGTGTGTAATCCTGAGAAATTTGGACTTTATGGTGATCTCAGCAACATCGGGAACCACTGAAAGTTGTGGCAGGAAAGTTCATGTACGTGCTTTAAAGGCAACTTTGGGAGTATGGGAGACAGTTTGGTTTTAGGTGGATGTAAGCAGGAGACACTCTGGTGAGAAATGATGTCAGCATTCCAAGGTAGAACTAATAAGGGTTTTAGTCAAGACAACAGTAGTGGAAGGGATGATCATTAGCAGGGTTTCCAAAAATATTTCAGGGGCAAAAAAAGAGAAAATCTATATTACTGGGCTAGCATGCTGAGTGCATCTTGTGACAGGTTTTCCCTCCCAACTCCATGCTGAGACAGCATGAGGAATAAAATAACCTAATGTTAGAGCCAGGAGTAAATCGGAGAATTTCTGAGGTCTTGAGTTATCTAGAGGAGAGAAGAGGAAACAAGCTTTGTTGTCTGGAAAGCCTGTTGGAGAACAGGTAGGCTGCTTGAGAAGTCTGGCACCAGTGTTCTCAGGACAAGAGTGCCTGCCGCTCATTTCATACCAGGGGTGGGCAGACGACTGCTGGCAACCAGATCTGGCCCAGCCTGTCTTTGTATGGTGCAAGCTAACAATGGATTTTACATTTTTAAAGGGTTGTGAAAGAAAAATATGTGACCTATAAAGACTAAAATATTTGCTACCTGGCCCTTCGGAGAAAATGTTTGCTGACCTCTGTTTTATACCATTAACTACGAGATAAACAAAAATTTTTACCATTGTGCAGAAGGTAAAAGCACAGTTAAGGAGAAGATGTGCCACCTCTATACACTCCTGTAAACGTGGCATTGCAAATTTTTTTTAAATAAACCTTTATTAAAAAATATTAGTAACTGTGTACTTGGCTACTTATCTTCCTGGGTACTTATCTTCTCCAAGTCTTAGTTTTTCTCTTTTGTTAAATGGCCAAAACAATGCTTATGCTGTTACTGTGAGGAGGGTGGGTCTGAGTAAGCATCTGCGTGGGACATTTCAGGGTTCTTTTCCAAGACAGTGTTTGTCAGGAGGCCTGAAATTCTGTTCAGACTGAGTCTGGAACACCTCTTCACCTCTTTTATCACACTTACACTCAATGGAGACATAACTGGTGGGAATGTAAGGATAAGATCATGAAAATTCTCTGAGGGTAGATTGATTACTCACAATTATAAAGTATTATTATGCCTTATTATGATGTTCTTTGGGAACTTGAAAAAATCCCTCTCTGGGAAATTTTGATCATAGTAGAATTTCTAAAAAAAAAAAGGGAAGCTACTGAAAATTACTCCCCTAACTTCCTTTTTCCCTGGATGTTTTAACCATTATGTTAATATCTTTGGAATGATCAGGACTACAGATAAATCCTTCTTAATTACAAAAGCTCACGTTTTTATTTTATTTTTTACTTTTTTCCCAAACACTCACGTTTTGAGATATTTCTTCTAAAAACTGAAGGACACGGTCCCCCAAATGAGAAATAAAACATCAATATGGTGATTAAAGATGGAGAAAAAGAATCATGACCAAACAGAATGCTTGGAATTTGAATTAAAAATAGAGTGGCATCGCCATCACCATTTAGGGCCTTACTGAAAATTCAGCTCTTCCTTCAGGAAATGTGTATTTAAAAACAATAAAGAAATAATTTTCTTTCCACATTCTTTTAAATTTATTCCTTTTTGTCCTCTTTTTAGTCAGCCAAGCACTATTTATCATTTACTGTTACTTGCTTTTTCTTGTGTCAGCCAGGCTGCCAGCTTTCTGAAGGCAGGTGCTACCCCTCTGTATCTGCCTTGATGCCTGGCACTGTTCCTTGCTATCATTTGCGCTCAACACTTAGGCTCCTTTTCACTCACTTACTCAGAAACCTTCAGTGGCTCTCCACTGTCCCTAAAAGTAGTCCTCAGTTTGTTTTTTGTTTTTAAATTGTATGTGCCTATTAGGAACCTAATGTTTGTACACCCTCTAATACACACATGCATAATATAATTTTCAATTATTTATATACTGTTCTACTTGTTTTGTATAAATTATAAACATCTACCAATGTAGAAAGTTTAAAAGGATGACATTAAAAAAAAATACAGAAAAAAAAAACAACTACATTAAAAAAAAAAAGAGCTATTTAAATCATACACACACAAGAAAACCATAAGTCCGCCCTCACCCCCTCCCCACCCTACACACCAGGAAGGCCTGAGACTCTGGAGCCAAAACTGGAGGCGAGGTTTCAATTTTGACACCCATCTCTCAGCTGGCTTCCTAAATAAATTTTAAAGTAATATTGATCTCTGTGGCCTTAGTTTGGTACCCAAAGCTACCGTCAGCTTTGTCTCCTAAATAATTCTTGTATCAAAATGAAAATAAAAATGAAACTATAAATTATTCAAAAGTTAACTAAAATTCTAAACCATATCAAAATGTATGGTGAGAAAGTAAAGCTGTGTTAAAAGGAACTTTAGAGACATACATTATTGTATTATTAAAAGTAAAGACTGACAATGGAGATTCCTCAAAAGACTAGGAATAGACTTACCATATGACCCAGGAATCCTGCTCCTGGGCATATATCCAGAAGGAACCCTACTTCAAAAAGACACCTGCACCACAATGTTCATAGCAGCAAAATTTACAATAGCCAAGACATGGAAACAGCCTAAATGTCCATCAACAGATGATTGGATAAAGAAGATTATGGTATATTTTTACAATGGAATACTATTCAGCCATAAAAACCGACAACATAACGCCATTTGCAGCAACAGGGATGTTCCTGGAGAATGTCATTCTAAGTAAGTAAGCCAGAAAGAGAAAAATACCATATGAGATCGCTCATATGTGGAATTAAAAAAAAAATACAAAACAAACAGACTCATAGACATAGAATACAAACTTGTGGTTGCCAAGGGGGCGGGGGGTGGAAAGGGATAGACTGGGATTTCAAAATGTAGAATAGATAAACAAGATACTGTATAGCACAGGGAAATATATGCAAGATCTTGTGGTAGCTCACAGTGAAAAAAAATTGTGACAATGAATATGTGTATGTTCATGTATAACTGAAAAACTATGCTCTACACTGGAATTTGACACAACATTGTAAAATGACCATAATAAAAAAATGTTAAAAAAAAAAAAAGTAAAGACTGTCAATGATTTAAATGTGTAACAGAAAAATGTTGTTATGTAATGATAAGCAAAAGAAGAGGGGAAATTAGTAAAGGATTAGCAGATGAAATAAAGGAGGATAAAGAAAAGGTAACAAAAGAATAAATAAGTGCATTTTAGCTGTTTGAAAATAAAATATGAAAATACTTAAAGAACCTGATGAAGTTAAAATAAGGAACCAAAATAGAGTTAGGAATATAAATTGATATATAGTCACAGATACAGAAAATGTTAAAATACCATAAAATTGTAAAAATAAAGTATATTATATGCAATACACTTGAATATAAGAATACATTACTTAATGGCAGTAATTTTGAAAATCTAGAGGAAATGCAATTTTTTGGTAAAATACAATTGACAAAATTTACCCAAGAAGCATGAGAAAATCTGACAAATCAATTATAGTAGAAATTGAGAAGACTAATAAAAATATAGTAAAAATAGTAAGGTACAGCACTCAGATTTGCAGACCAATTTCTGTTTTAAACAACAGTGTATCTATGTGTTTTACACTATTCAAAGACAAATGAAAAATGTAACTCCACAGCTCATTTTTAAGCCCAAACATCTCTAAATTCTAGCCAGGTTAAAAATGCACAAGATATTTAGTATCATTTGTAAATATATAGATGAAACTTCTAAATAAAATTAGAACAAGTTAAGTTCAATAAATAAAGCAATACGCATAATCAGGTGGAGTACTGTAGAAATGAAAAATGTTTCAAAATTAAGAAACATGTTTATGTTGTTAATGTATTAATGAAACATAATTTATTATTATACTAAGAAGATAAAAAAAAATGTAAGTTCAAAATAGATAGTTCCTAAAACTCAGCTATCATTCCTAATATGTTTTTCTATTAGAAAGAGATGCCTACCTAATTATAAGGATGAATATGTTCCAAAAATGTCTGAAATACCATAGAAACTTGCAAATACTTGACTATTTCTGTTCAAATTAGTAATGAGAAAGAGAAGCCTACATATGATTGTAGACACAGAAAACTCGAGATACGTAATTAAAAACTAACAAGCAGTCACTTTTTAGAATTGGTGAGACTTTCATAAAGTGCCTACATATACATAATAAATATGTAAAAGTCTGTAGACCTTCTATGTAAACAATAAACACTTTGAAGTGGAAATGGGGGGATAAAGAGACCTTAGCTGAAGAACATCAAAACCAAAAAATCGTATTAAATAGAAGAAAAGAAAGATACAGACTCTAATACGAAGATAATCACCAGATTTTATTAAAAAGTAAAATAGGGCTGAATGATTAGAGAGAAAAATTATCTTTCTGGAAAGTACTAATATCATTAAAAATGCCAGTCATACACAAATTAGTAATTTCAGTGAGAATCTTAAAATCGTGGTTTAAATGAGTAGAATGACTTTAAAGTCCACATGGGAGAATTTGAGTAAGAATTTCACACAGTAATTAGGAAAAATGAATGGTAGTCAATGGAAGTTCTCCATGAGAGGTAATTTATTGATCTCAGTCAGGTTTTGTAGTTACAGCCACAGTAGCCACCTCTGACAGATATAAATGGGAAATTAATTCATGAATGATATTGGGTAGCACATCTGATCTTATACAAGGTAATACATTTGGTTACGACACAGCTATGATCATCCCCCAAGGCCATGCAAAGAGAGGTCCCATGAGGAAACCACTGCTACTGTAACAGGAAAAGTTACACCACAGCCAGCATAGAAATAGGGGACAAAAATTTGGGTCTAGAGCCTTCTGAGACATGGGCTGGGATAGAAAAAAAGGCTATGTAATAAGAATAAAAGTGATCCAGAAATAGGCACACTGTTGAAAGATATTGAAGACTTTGAACCATTTTAGTCCCTAAGTTGAATCAAGTTGCTATAGGACAGCCAGTGTCCCCGGATGCCTGCCAGGAGCATAAATACATATTTCTCTATGGAGAAACATATCTTCCTCAGACCCAAAATATTTTTTTCAGTTGTGTGTAATGTGTGATGCCCAGTGAAAACTAATAATGTGCATGAAAAAATAATATGACTGAAAACCAAGAGAAACAAACAATAAGAACAGTTCCACAAGGGGATGATACCTTGAAATAACTATCTGATACATATTCAAGAAAGTAAGACATAAAATTAAACTTTTGGCAGAGAACTGGAAACCAAGAAAAAAATAACAATGTAAATTTTGAAACATATGTGTAATCTAAAAAAGCCAAACTCAGAAAAGGGAGTAGAATGGTGGTTGCCAGTGTGTTGGGGAATTAGGACATATTGGTCGAAGAGTACAAACTTCTAGTTATAAGATGAATATGTTCTGAAGGGTCTGCAGTACAGCATGGAGATCATAGTTAATGATACTGTATGATATGCTTAAAGTTGTTAGAAGAGTTGATGTTAAATTTTCTCACCACAAAAGGAAGTGTGATATGAAGGTGTTATGTGTTAGCTACTGTGGTAGTAATCATTTTGCAACATATATAGAAGTGTATCAGATCAATACATTGTGTACCTTAAACTTACACAATGTTATATGTCAGCTAAATCAGCTTTATTAGCTAGAAAAATACAGTAACCAAAATCAAGGATGTAAGGGCGTATTTAGTAGCATTAAGAAACAACTGAATAAAGAAAGAATCAATGCAGGAAATATATCCAGTATTTTACTCAAAATATTCAAAAACAAGGCACAGGGAAAGTTAGGAACTGAAAACAAAGAAATAAGGATCAAAGATAAAGGAGCAGAGAATATCTAACACTTGTGCAGTTGGAATTCCCAAAGGAAAGGGTGAATGAGGCAAAAACAGTAGCTAAAGAATGTTTTCATTTTCCCTCAACTGACAAAAGATACCAAGTCACAGATTCAGCACATGCCTATGAAGAGCAATTAGGGCTTGACAAACTCTACATCTGCTACTTTACCACTGAAAATGAGACAGAGGGACAGTCTTAGCACAGCCAGAAATATGAAGATGTGTGACCTGCAAAAAGCATCATGAACACTATGACTAATTTTTCCAAACTAAAAAGCAGCAGTCAAAAGACAACAGAATAGTAACCCTGAAAGAAAATAACTGCCCAACAAGAATTCTATGTAATTAAAAATATCCAAAAATAAATTAATTTAAACAAACCAAAACCAAAATTTCTACCAGAAAACCTGTACTAAGTACCAGAGTGTTTTTCAAAGTGAAAGGAATGATCCTAGATAGAAGTTTAAAGGTTTAAGAATAAAGAGCAACAATAACAACATGGATGTATAGATACATCTGAAAAATATTGACTCTGTAAAGCAATAATAGTAATGTTTTTGGAATATACTGTAACATGGAATTAAAGTAGAAACAATAGCACATAATATGTTAGTATTGGAATGTGTAAAGTGTTCTAATATTCTTGCATTGCTTGACAAAAGATGAAATAACTAGTTTATATCAAACTTTGATGAGTCAAGCATGAATGCTTATTCCTTTAGTTTAACCACTGAAAGAAAAGAAAAATATAAACCTAGCAACCTAACAGGAAAAAAACTAAATATTAAAAATATATGTGCTCTCGGCCTTAGCGCCATCTTCTGAGAAGCCTCCTCGCCGTGACAGTGAAGTGGAGGAAGAAGCGAATGCGCAGGCTGAAGTGCAAAAGAAGAAAGATGAGGCAGAGGTCCAAGGGAGCTTGTACACCCATGGAAGCCACAGGAGCAGAAGCAAGGAAAGCCAGAGGCCAGGGACGCTGTTAGATACTGTTGGACTGCATGTCTACTGTCTAGAACTTGTCACAATGGATCTGGAACATATACTGCCGTTCTGATCGCCTCGACCACCTTTAAGAGACCCATCTTGCTCATATCAAAACAGGCCCTTTTGGTCCTTTGCCCTGGACCTGTGATATTCTGGACTGGTTCTGTTCTCAGTTGTGGCTGAATGTAACGTGTACAATAAACCATCTCTTCTGCTGTCTTAGCTGAAGGAAAAAAAAAAGGCTCAGCTGATAAATAGGAAGGAAAGAAAGAAGAGAGAAAAGAACATAGAATAGATAAGGACACTTAGAAAACAAATAGTGAGATGGTGGATTTAAACCCCAATATGTCAGTAATTAGTTACATTAACTTGAAATGAGATATTGTCCTAAAATGTAAGATAAAGATTGTCAGGCTGGGTAAAAAAATCAAAACCCATCATGTGTTTCTTAGAAGAAAAACATCTAAAACTAAAAATGCAGAAATAATATCCAAATATATAAAATTATACTTTGCAAACATTAACCAAGGACATTGGTTTAACTATAAATACAAAGGAAGAAGATTCAAGGCAAAAATCGTAACTTGAGTTAAAGATGAACATTTCATAAGCATGGAAATTTTATTTTGCCAACAAGATAGAAAAATTGCAACTTTTTATGTGCCTAAAATTAAAGCATAAAACACATAGAGATTAATAACTAGGAGACGGACTAATTTACAATAATAATAAGAGGTTTTAGCACAACTCCTCTCCATGCAAACAGAATAAACAGACAAAATCAGCAATGATACAAAAACTTTAAACAACACAGTAAGCTTTACCCATTGGAAATATATAAACCAATAATGCAACAACCATAGAATATACATTGTATTCAAGTGCACATAAGCATTTTTAATTGATTGACCTGAGTCACAAGAAAATCTGAACAAATTTTAAATGACTTAGAACATTCATAGTAAGTTTCTAACCATATCACAGTTAAGCTAGAATTTAAGAGAAAGATAACTGGGGAAAAAAAAAACCTCTGTATGTTTGAAAATCAAAAACAAAATTACATTTCTAAGTTATCCATGGTTCAAGGAAAAAATAAAATAGAAATAACAATACGGTTCTAAATTAAAGTAATTAATATAATTGAAACTAAAAGCTCCTTATTGTAACTAAAGTTTTCCTGTGAGGGAAATTTATAATCTTAAATGTATACATTAAGAAAAAAAGAATGCTAAACTTTAATTATCCAAAAATCTAATTAAGGTGCAGGTGAACAAATTAAAATCAAATTGTACAAGTAATAAAATACTAGAGAAATCAGAAATGAATGAAATTAAACATGCAAAAAGAGAATTAGCAAAGTTAAAAATTGGTTTGTAGAAAAGTTTGATAAAATTGATAAACTCTGAAACACAAATTAAAATATAAGAAGTTATAGGAAAAGGGAACATAAAAGTTTACACCAAAAAACTATAGAGATATTAAAATTATAGAAATGGATATGATAAACAAATTTTGCCATTAGATTTGAAAGTTAAATGAAATAGTAAGATTCTTAGAAAATACAACTTATTAAAAATATAAATATTATGTAATTAGTGTATTTATCCAAGAAATGAAAATTTTATCCACAATTTTAAACTCAATTAACATAATTGCTACATTCACAAATTAGGAGAAAAGTAATTTGACCCTCTAAACTGGTGAGAAGCATTTGATAAAACTTGACATTTTTTCTTGATTTAAAAAAAGGCAAACTACAGTTAACAGTAAATTTCCACACTCAAAAAAAGAATATGTAGAAAATAAAGAATATGTAGAAAAACATTTAAAGCAAGCAAACTACTGGAGGTAATCTCTAATCAACTTATTTTCAACATTTATAACCATCTAGTCACTGTAATAAGTCAAGAAAGAAAAATGAAAGTTATGGGGACTTGAAAGTGTATTAAAATATTCATATTTGCAAATTGATGTGATTATATTATGGAAAAAAAAAAAACAACTGACCACTTAATAAAAACAGTAAGTTAGTTGACCGTTATGCTGAAGAAAATGGCAGCATAAAAAAATCACTTTTGCGTTTCATATTTCAGAAATGACTAGAATGTACAAAAATATAAGGTACCATTTATAATGGCAGCCAAAATATCAACTATGTAAGATGAAATACAACAAAATAAGCAGAAGATTTCTTTGACACAGAAATTTATGTAACATTGAGAAAAAGCAGAGAAGACTTAATCATTGGATTGCCATACTTATATATTGGAAAACTCAATAATACAAAATATGTTAATTTTCCCAAAGCAATGTATATAAATTGAATGTGGCTCCATCCAGCCTAAACCCAATTGTGTGTATCAGTGTGTTTGCTTAAATTTATGAAATGGTTCTAAAAGTTCAAAAACCCAAAAATGCTTAAGACACTTTAGAAGGCAAAGTAAAATGTAGGAAGAAATGCATAAACACATATGTAATTTTGTTATAAAGTAAAACTATAATTAAGGCAGTATGGTATTAAAATATATATATATAAAGAAACCTATATGAAATAAAGCGAAATGTCCTTGATGACGTGTATTTACCAGATTTTTGGACACCCTAAAAAATCATATAAAAAAAACTGTAACTAAACAATTTGATTTAAGGACAGAAATAAAGAAATTGACCAATAGAACCAAATGGGAGTCCCAATATAGACCAACATGTGTTCATGTGTTCTATGTGTGTGTGATAATTTAGTATGTGATACAGACAGCACTTTTCAATCAATGGACAGCACTTTACAAATCATTGAAATAATTTTGTTAGCACAAGTGACTATACCTTTGGAAAAGTAAAACAGAGTTAAATTATTTCAAATACTCAAAATATTCAGGTTAATATGTATTTCTCAGCAGAAACATACATACTTTAAAAAAACTCTGAAACTATTAAAATTGTATGCACAAAATTATGTTTGCAAACTTGGAATAGCAAAACATAAAATATGACTCAAAATATGAAAATCATAAAGAAATATTTTGATGTGATCCAGCAATCCACAGACAGTGAAACAACTATAGCCAATAAATAGGCCGACTTTTTTAGTAATCAGGAAAGTATACATCAAAGCCATTGAGATGAAAATTTTATCCTGTCATATTTTAAAAATATGGATGTTTAATAATATAAATATAGATGAGAATGTACATAAAATGGATTCTCTCTTATATTAGTATTAATTCAAAATTATCTATTGAATATTAAATGTGTTAATTCCATAATCCAGGCTTTCCACTTTGAGGTACCTACACTAAAAAAGTTATATGTTAATGCACAGGCAATGAAGGAAATTTATTTTAGATTGTAATAGTTAAAACTTATAAGAAATCTAAATGACTATCACTAATAAATAAATTATGAAACACTCATAGTATAGATTATTATGCAGTTATAAGATTTCATGGAATTCTCCAAATGGATTCTTACATTCAAAACACAAGTACAATGTAGTGAGCATGCTTTTAGATTCCAAAAAATGACACCTTTTTGCACATACACGTGTTTCTCACTGTATATAAAATTTCTCTAAAGACATACAAAACCGATAGCCCTGATAACCTCTGGGTAGTAGACTAGGCTGGATGAGTGGTTTTACAAAAGGCTTGATAAGAGGAATGAGTTCATATATTATTTCAATGATTAAAAGTAGATTTTTAAAATGTAGCACAGCTTTATTGAATAGCTAGGGGAGGATTGCTCTAATTATGCCATGTCAATTGTTTGCCTCTAATTGCTTATTATGCATAAATTGTTTCCCTCAATGTGTGGCTGGCTTTGTATTTCTTCCATTCTCTCTGCACTCTTATTTGGAATGATTGTGTTCTGCATCTGTGCTCTGCAATATCTTCATGTGAAATCAGAGTATGGTCTACTCCTGTTGATAGGATGAGAGGGATGTTTTCCACTTTCCCGTCTTTTACTGGAAGAGTTAACTAAGCAAAATTATTTAAGCCAAAGTCCTGTCCTTGTAAAAGTAGCAAATGTCCTCTCTGGGAAGCACAGAGACTGTGTGATATGTAACCTTTTGATACTCAAGATACGTGGGATATAGCCAAGGCAGTAGAGTGTACTGGATAAGAACATGGCTTTTTAATGTAACATCTCATTTTCAAATTAAAGGGGAAAATGCATTATCATTTCAATACATACAAATAATCACTGATAAAAGTAGGTTTTGGTGAGAACTCTCTAGCTTGCAGATAGCCACCTTCTAGCTGTGTTCTCTCTTGATGGAGAGAGCAAGAGAAAATCTCTGGTGTCTTTTTATAAGAGCACTAATCCCATCATGAAGGTCCTCCTCTCTTGACCTCATTCAACACCAGTTATCTTGCAAAGGCCCCATCTCCAAATGCCATTACATTGGGGTTAGAATTTACACATATGAATTCAGGGGAGGTACATAAACATTCAGTCCATAATAGTGTTTAAATAAGTTTGATAAAGGACTGCAGACTTAAATGTTGAGTAGAGGCAGAGATTCCTAGGTATTTTTGTCTAATGCACTCTCTTTGGTCTCTTAGACCATCATGAGATACGCCTCCAAATCACTGTAGATATTTGAGTGATTCTCATGCTTAATAGAGTAAAAGTTATCTTTGCAGTCTGTGCCTGAGCTACTGGCCTCCCGGTCTCATTTGTTCAAACTCTTTTGAGCTTATTTGTTGCTTTGCAATCTGCAGAGTTCCAGAGAGTATATTTAACTGGCAGCTTAATTATCTTAAGTATCTTCAGCTACACAGGTGATAAGTTCCAAGCATGGGTAACGAAACTGGAACAGTCATTTTTCCCAAAACCTTTCAAATATTTATCCTATGGTTGGCTCTCATAATTATTCATCAATAACTTCAAAAAACAGAAAGTTAAGAGAAATGATACCCCTGTGTTTCTTTGAGACATTCTCTGCATTTTGATTCCAGAAGAACTGTTTGAAGTCCAGGGTGACAGGAAGTTTTAGGATTTTATCAGCTTTTAAAATATACTCCTCTCTCTCAGAAAAATTAGCAAATGCTTTATGGCCTACACACACAGCAGTTCATCTTACCCCCTTGAACAACCAGCTTGAACTGTGCTGCTTCACAGAGCAAGTGAAGAGCATGTTGAAATTTTGGAGGTTGACGAAGGGGAATGGGGGAGAGACGGTTCTCATTACAATATTCTCTGTTTCATGCTTTTTTTCCTCTTTATTAAATTTCAAATAACTTACCATTTACTAACATGTAGAAAAAGTAATTTTCAATAAAATGCAATGGGAAGAAGAAAGACGTACATAATATGTTTTCTCTATCATAGCAGCATCAGTAAAAAGTCAGAAGATAAAATTTGCTTTTATCCAAGTACTTTACTAAAATTTTTAACTTACGCTTCAAACCAACATGGAAAGAGTGCCTGTCCTTTTTAGATCTTTTGGCATTTAAAAGGTGGACAATAACATGGAATATATTTTCTTTCTATTTTTAAAAAGTACAATGTTCAGAAAGTGTATTTCCCAGTCAGCATATGGCTACATTTTTCTGATTAAGGCTAATAGAATGTCCCAGCTCAAGGCTTGCCTGTTGAATCAAGAGTGCTAGAAAATCCTTGAGGAATTCAGATTTCAAGAAAGGTTATTTCTGCCTAAAGTACTCTTTCATTGCAAAATCAAACTCTGTAGAAATGTTTTAATCCAGAAAACTTGACTGGGCTTTCCTGTATCAAGTTAAAGAGGAAAATCTAGATGGGATATTGTGAAAGAAAAGAATGGCATGATTTCATATGTATTTAGGAAGGTATATATTAATTCATCACATTTACATAAAAAGGTACTTTTAAATATATCATCAAAATTGATTTTCACATCTGTTGTCAAGTCATAGAAATATTTTAAATGAGGCTTTAAGTAAGCTTCTATCTAAAATATAAAAATAAGTCTCATTTGGAATTATGTTATATGTGAAGACCCTACACAAATATCCCACTTGGAACTATATGTTTTGGCTGGTTTCAGAAATTTCAATATAATGTAGTTTAAAATCATGGATTTTTAATCAAAAGGTGGGTAGGCATCAACAGACGATCAGATAAAATTTACTGAAAATGTCATGGCTAGCCTGAAATCTATCAATGTTCAAGGGAAATGTCTTGAAAGATTCTTAGAGTAATTTGATAAATGTGACAAACTTCTATTTGGGTGAACATAAATATCATTTTTATTCTAGGGTAGACTTAGTCCTTGGTAACATCCTTATAAAATATTCATAAAAGATTGAATTCTTATAACACCAATAGATACCAGTTAAAAACTGAAAAATTAATATATTCAATGAATGCCTACCTACTAGAACTAAACCTAGGCTTTTTAATAGACTAGAGTAGATGTATTGGTCATATATACCACAGTTTTTTAGTTTGGGGTTTACCTTTCTTAATATAAGCAATGTAAGCAATCATGCTGATAATAAGTACCATGCTATACCCTTTAACACGTAGGTAAGGATGCTTTCTTGCCTATCAGTAAGAATCTTTATCAAGATAATGAAAAAAAAGTATTGTCTTTAACGTACCCTTAGCATATCTGTGTGAGAAGGTCAGTTCATGTTGTGAAGTATAGGCTGGTTAAACAAGTATGTCTGTGTGCACACGTGTGTGTGTACATATGTATACTACCTACATACAGATGAATGCATGTAAATGTGTGTATATATCAATACCTTTGTGTCCGAATCTTTGCATCATTGTATACATGTGAATGCACATATTGCTTGAATTTTGCTCCTCTGGGAAACCTATACCAGGATGGAATGAATAGTGTAAGAAATTCACTGGGGCAAACAGTTGTGAAGGATAAAGGAGAGAAGAAACAGGGGTGGATGTGGGAGAACCTTCCACTGACAGTATCGGTCTGACACCTGAGAAAGAAGAGAGGGCAGAATAGAGGACTTAACAAGGAGAGGCTTGGACTCTAGCGCAACTCTGAGAAATCCTTAGCCAAGCTGATGGTAAGCTCCAGGGTAAAGACTGCCCAGTAGAAGGGTTCTGCAAGGCTGACCCCAGGACTCCTACCTGGCCCAGTCATTGGCTAAGAACAGCCTGTGGAGATGGAGGTCCTGGCCTCAACCCCGTTGTGGACCCTGAAGGCACAGCAGCACAAAGCTGTCAGCAAGCTCCTCCTCTTAGAGCAGATTCTCTCTCGAGGGAGGTCTGAGTAGAGCAAGCTCATGGCTGTCACACACACCTATGTTAATACAGATTAGATCAGCCATTCCTCAGTCTTTCTGAACCTGTGATTGATTATTGATGTCCTTCCCAACTTTGTATCCCTTCCTCAGGATTCTGTAATGATGAACTGGCTCGTCAAAGAGTGATAGGCATTTTGAAGGGAGAAGATATGGATAGCCAAAAAGATTTCACATCCTTCAGCAATTCATATAGAATAGAGGTTATTTGCCTATAAATACTGTCATATTTCCACATTGGCTGATAGTTCTATCATTTCCTTTGTCAGAAAGATGAATTATTCTTGGAATCCTATGTTGTGTTGTTAAATGTCACCAATAGTCCATTAGCCACTAGAAACACAGAGGAATGTTGTTGATGCCTGTATTCAGAAATGCTTAGGCCAGAATTACAGATTTCAAAAACCCAAGTGACTTACTCGTGATTTAAAGCTCTGTCTGCAACTTCCTAGATCCAAACAGAGAGCAAGGGTGGGGTGCATTTCCAGCAGATATATGTGGCTAGTGTCAGAACTGAAATAGGCTAATCCCTTGCCAAATGGCCCTGGATGAGGGGTTGGAAGGAAGTAGAACAAAAACAGCCTTTGTTATGGACCACTTGTTAGCCCCACCACCCCCATTCCTGTGTTGAGACCTTTACCCCCAGTGCCAGGGGATTTGGGAGCTGGGCCTTTGGGAGGTGACTAGGTTTGGATGAGATCATAAGGGTGAGGTTCTTGCGATGGTTTTAGAGTCCTTCTATGAAGAAGTGCTTGGGAGGACACACCAAGAAAGCAGCTGTCTGCAAGCCAAGAAGAGAGTTCTCATGAGAACCTGACCATGCTGGCAACTTGATCTTGGACATCCCAGCTTCCAGAACAGTGAGAAATAAATGTCTCTTGTTCAAGCCACTCTGTCTGTGGTATTTTTGTGGCAGCCTGAGCTGAGACAGCCAGTATCTGAGAAGTGAGGGAGAGAGAGGAAGCCACCATTGCTGTTGTGGTTGACTCACATTGTCCCAAACATGGAGATCCAGAAGCTTCCTGAGTCTGGTAGGATGCCAGGAGTGGGAGGAAGCCCAGAGCAGAACAGTGGAAATGAACTCCAACCCTCAGCTGAGCAACGACTTTGCCACCATCTACAGCCTACAGCTATGGAAGAGGAACAAATGATGTGGCAAATGGATGTAGATCATTGAAATTCATTCCAGCCGGGGACCTTGGGGACTGCACTGATCCACATGCTGAGAGCCTTGGCAGTGTGTGTTTGAAAATATCTTCCTTTTCTCACACACTCTCCTGAAAAATGGAAGAACTGGAGAAAAAATCGGATTTCAGCAAACCCTTAGTTAATGTTTTTCTTGTCCAGTTTGAGTTATTCACACACTCTCCATTGTTCTTCCCCTGGCTAGTGCCTCGTGTGTTTAAAGCCCAAACTTCCCTGAGCATTGAGATTCTTTCTCCTCCAAACTGAACTTCTTCAATGTTAACAGAACCCTCTTAAGTGGAAGACAAAATAATCATGTTAGATATCAAGAGAGATTGTAGCATATAATAATTTCATCTTGCAGACCCTTTATAGGTTTTTAATGTGTTTCCTTATATATCTAAAATTAAGTATAATCTTAGAGAAAAATAATACTTATGGCTCTGAAGCCACCTTTTTGCTTTTGAATGGCAAATTTGCAAAAACACAAATATGAGATACTGGTTCATCATATATATATATATATAAAACAATTGTTAAAATTTTTAAATTTATTCTTCTGTAGATCAATATATTGATTGCTGTTATTTTATCCTAAACTGAAAAGAATATTTCTAAAACCTCATATGACAGTCCCTCAAGAGCTTCAAGAAAAATAAATAAATAAAAATCCTGGGCTTTGCATTGTGGAACTAAGAAATCTGGATTGTTTAGATAAAGTTTGGATAAGAATTTGAATGTCAAGTGCTTATTTTACTGAATCTGTTGGAATTCAACAATCTCTTCTGCATGTGTGATGCAATGTGATGTGTGCCGAGGGTGAATTTCTTTGAGCAACTGAATAATTTCTTTGCACTCTGGTCTTCAGTGCTGATTAGTTCTTTCTTCTCTGGCTTGTTCATACAAAGGCTGCCTTGACATCAAGAAAGCCTGGAAACATCTAGAAAAAACTAGAATTATGCAGTTAGGTAAAAAAACAACAAAAAAAACAAACTCAGATTTTGTGAGCACACTGTCTATACAGAAACCCATATATGGTCCCAAGGAATGGATGATATATTTAACTCTGTGAGTTAGTTCATTTTAATTAAAGCGAATGTAGCCTTTTGATCTACGGAATAAACAATCTAACAATAGGAAAAATGCAATCTGTCGAGACATATTTGAGTTATTTTGCAGTAATTGGCTTGGCAGCAGCTTCAGTCACAGATTTCTGTTTCACAGATTGTCCCCAAATGAATAAAGGTTTGCTTTGAAATGTAATTAATATTACGTTCAGCTGCAAGACATTCTCAGGTTGTCAGAGGAATTTGAGGGAGGTAACTACAGAAAGTGAACAAGATAAAAGTGAAACTGAAAAGTAAATTAAGTCAAATTATGGCACACCAAGTAAACTGGCCCAATACAAAATGTCAGTGTCATGAGCTGGATTTTACCTGCAGCTCAATCTCCTGTGAACATGAAAATGATGGAGATGGTCAAATAATTCACAGGGTATGTATGTATTTGACAGTGACTGCCTCATTTTATCATTTAAACATGAACAGTGAATGTGGGGAATGTAAGAGCTATTTTGTTCTCTAATGAGATGGAACAGATCTGAAGGCATCAAGGCTGCACTTGGGGAGTCGGGCCCCCTGAGTTCAACATGCATTGATCAGTCCTGCTTCCTCACTGCAGTCATTAGTCATCTGCTTGCTGCAGGCCGTTAAGTAAGTATTGAGTTTTACTGGTGAAGGGTGTAAATACTAGTTGTATGTGTTCAATTACAAATGTTTTAATTACAGTATATTTCCATATGTCCAACTATTCTATTTTAGTAGGGAATATGGATCTATGCAAACAACCCAGAACAAACAGATATATAGTTGCAGTGAGTCATCCTCAGAGATGGTTATTAACCAGTATATTTAAAACACCAAGGCCCAAGATACATCATCGTTTGAATATAAGTGATACTAATTGCACACACTAGTGGAATCTTCACT